AAATATTTGAAGAATGGGGGCACCTGGGTGGCTTAGTCGTTAAGCGTCTGCCTTCCGCTCAGGTCATGATCCCAGGGTCCTGGGATCGAGCCCTGCATCGGGCTCCAGCCCCGCATCGGGCTCCCTGCTCCATGGGAAGCCTGCTTCTCCCTCTCCCACTCCCCCTGCTTGTGTTCCCTCTCTCGCTGTGTCTCTCTCTGTCAAATAAATAAAATCTTTAAAAATAAATAAATATTTGAAGAATGAATTAATTCTACACTAATTGAAGACAAACCCAGGTTAGATAATCCAAAACAAGAAATCCTTCAACCATTTAGAAGTCAAAGATACACTCATCTTTATAATTCCATTCTGCCTCAATCCTATCAGTAACCTGCTTAAGAGGTAGTATATATAGGTGCCGGTTCATTCACAGAAAACAACTTGCCCATGTACATAATCCTAGAATAATCATAATCCTAGAATCACTTTCATTTTAATTTAAAATAGACTACAGTCACATTATTTTTAGATTAACATCTGAAACCTCAAGGATATCCCAATCAGTTCCTGGCTGTATATCCCCCAGCCAAACTCACAAAACTTTTCTGGTATCCCTTTAGCATTTTATAAATTTTTTAAAGAGGGGCCCTTCTTACAGACTGTTATAAGGCAAAAATCACATACTAAGCTAGACTGAATTCCCTGGAAAAATAATTATACGACTATAACGCAGTTACTTAACTGACGATTTTAAGTGATAAGTTCCATGGCATTTGTAGTTTCATTCTGCTTGTCTCTGTAACAGCTTTGAATTTATCTTCTGGAAATACCTCCTCTCAGCCTCAGAGACAGAACACTACTACTCTGGCTCTTCTCCTTGGGATTCTTTTCCACACCATCTCCCCTTCCCATGCCGTATATATGACATAACCCCAAGTTTATACTTCAGCACTCTACTCTCTGTGGGCCAGTGATGCTCAACATGTGGCCAGTCACCACAAACTACATCAGAATTACCGGGGGAGCTCGTAGAAGAACAAAGACTCCTGGGCCATGCCAGCCCTAACAAATCCCAGAATGCGTGGGGTGGGAGCCAAAGGCCTGCGTGTTTCCCAAAAACCACAAATGGTGATACACTCTATAGTTTGAAACCCACTGCCCAGACATTTTCTCAGGTTTGCAGCTTTATCCCATCCCAGCCTCCAGAAAAAAGTAGTGAGTTAGGACAGTATAGCAACCAAGAACTCTAGCTGGAACAAAGGCCTGGCTAGAACCCTGGCTCTATCAATTCTAGCTGTCAGATTATGGTCTGCAGTGAAACCTATCTGAGACAATGTGTGCACAGGCCCTGGCAGAATGCTTGGCCTAAAATGGGTATTTTTAATAAATGATTGCTATTATTAGTACTGTGGCTTTCTATCAACCTGCCTCAAACTGATTATGCATCCTCACTTCCCACCTTCCTCAAACCGCCTTGCCTTTCAGGATTCCCTCCCTATTTCTGTTGAACTGATCATTTTACCAGTTTTTCAGGCTTCAGCCTGCTCCAACTTTTCCACTGATCAACAAGCTGTTTTATTATTCATGCTTGCCTGCCCAACATCTCAATCCCAATCTCCCTCATCATTCCACATCCTTCTCCACCTAACAAATTATTTTGTAGTCTTGACTGTTCCAGCCTAAGTGAACCTTTAAGCTCCTATACTCACAGACCCATATCATCTGTAAAAATTCATTAGCAATTAATCAAAAAACTGGCCTATGACATCCCTCTTATAATTGTCTTAAACTGTGAACTTTTCCCCTGATATTTAACCATTTACTTGTTTATATCTAATTTCCCCAATTACAGTCTAAGTTGCTCAGATGTGTAGAGACTGATACTTTCATCTATAAGCTCAGCACCTTACTTCTTAAGATACAGTCAGCATTCAAATGATTATACAGAAACTCTACCTGAAAGCTTAATGTTAACAGCATTTGGGTAGAAGCATGTTAAGTAATTTGACCTCAAGGTCAAAATCTCTTCTTGGCTGCTAAGGACAATCTTGTGTGAGGTTTGAAGGAATTTTGCCATTCAATAAATTGCTTAGGGAATCGGAGGAAGATGGAAGTGGTGGTCAGATAAGCCATAATCAGATAACCCATTGTAAAAAAAAAAAAAATAGATGCTGCAACCAGCCATAAGCATTAAATTTACAGCCTCAGATAAACAGCTTGTAAACAACGTGACTTAAGCTACAGAAGTGGCAATTTATAAAATCTAAGTTGTATTACTAAAATCAGGGTACTCCCTATTTTCAATTTTAATACCCACAGCCAGGCTTTTCAAAATGAGCACAAGTCAATTCAGAGGAGTTCTTGGAATAATTTCCTTTATAGCAGAATCCTAAATTTAGACCATACGAAAGATACCGAGAAACCAAACAAAGAATTCAAAAAGGCAGGTCCCAATTTATAAAACCAGAAGTCTAGATCAAACACTCAACCCAATTAAGAATTTTTCCTTCATGGTGTAGCTAGAAATAAAATGATTTCATGAGTAGTTTCAAAAGATTGTCATGCTGCATACCCTTCCATTTTGCATGATACGGTTTCATATACAAATAAATAAATGTTCTATTCGCAACCTTTTCTTCTTGTTCTTGAGATGAAACCCGAGACCTTAGAAAGATACCAAACGTGGAAATATGCAGAGTGTCACATAATCATTATAGTGACTTAAAATACTTGCTTACTAGTTGGAAAAACGACTTAATGGGCTTTCAGTGTGGACTAGCCAGAGAAAGAAAATACATTGGGAACTGACATTCCCAACAGGTATAAAACGTTTGTGAAGAAATGTAGGTGAGATCATCTAGCAGTTTTAGATGACAGCCAACTCATAAGCAGACCTTTTAAAAACTTAAAACAAAAACCACTGCACTTCAATTTTCCCCTTTCAAAAGAGATGAAAAACCAGAATTTTGTGAAAAAGAAAAATTCAACATTTCAACCCCACTTAAAATAAAGGAAGCCTAGTCGTATCATACAGTAAAAAAGCCGAGCTTACGTTAAGTTGCCAAAGCCTCACACATGATTAATTTGGGGGCGGAGGGAGGGATTGGAAGGGCTCAGAAGGCTGGTAGGACTAAATGGACAATGAAAATGGTAAGAGCAGACAAAAACTAGATTTCTCGTAACATTGCCTATTCACTTCCCTAAAATGATAGTTGCCTATTTTGATAATTCAGTCTCTTTGTAAGCCAAGAAGAAAACTAACCATTTTGGCTAAATTATCTATCCTTCCCAGTCTGACGGTACTTTTCTTTTTGTGCTATATACTAACCCAGAGGTTTCGAATCAGCGTTTGTAATGGCAACATTTTACACTAGTAAGTTCTTCCAGTACCATTAAATCACCACAGAGGGTGAAGGCCACGGTTAATGGAAAACGTCAAAACTTTAAAGGATATCAGGCTGTAAATCCCAAACCCATAACCAGGATTTTAATACTTTTGGCTCCGACAATAAAAAAATTTTTCCGCGACTTAAACTAAACTAAAAATATATATATATACATATAAACACCAAGTACAACAGAAGTTCTGGCCTAGAATTTCACAAACACACCACTTTAGGGCGAGAGGAAGCTGGTCACGGCAGCAGAGCGCCCGAAGACTTCCAATCAGAGAAACAATACCCCAACCAGTAATAGCCCTCACCCTGTTAATCAAATGCAGTTTTGACCTCTGAAAACCCTCTTACCTGTTTACAAGAGTTTATACAGCTGTTTGCCACTGGAACACCACCTTGCAGAGCATAACCGTGGCATCCTCGGTTGATAATCACCTGTTGCCTAAGTAAGCATCATCCCGCATGGAGACAGACAGCACTAGGGCTCTTCCATCCGAGGTTAAAATTCAAAACAAGCCCAACAAGCCTGCATTTCAAGGTGGTCTTCGTCTGCAACTAGTTAAGTTTAAAACTGGCAAACGACAACGGTGTCTGAAGCCACTGGTGCAGCACTGCTGGCTTCCTCTTGAACTGCAGCGTTGTCACTGTGCACCGAAGTCTCCTGCTGCAAACAGGGGAGTTGTTCTCCTGTACTGGGAACAGCTTCCAAAGCTCAGGAGCCCCTGTACAGGATAACGCAGGAACTAAAGGCAAACACTTTCTCCTCTTTAAGGATGCCTCCATTTTTTCCTCACAATCTGTACTACCAACCGAAGTGACTGGGCCTGAGTGTGCGTTCGTACCTATGAAACCGTCACGGTGCATGCACATCCAAGGCATGTGGAACCACAGGTCAAATAAGGCACAGATACCGAGTAACGGTTCTAATTACAAACGCTAGCTCTCAGGAACTCTTCATCCATTCAGAACTAAACCCATCACTGCATAACTCTGGTAAGAAGCCCCTGGAGATGGAGGAGCTCCTCAAATGTGTCAGGAAAGGCTTTATTAACATCATCATTAACATTTAAAAAGCAAACGGAGCATTTCTCCTTCTTTTGGCAATTTGGTGCAAATGTTAAGTGCAAGATAAAGCAATTTCAAACTTTTCTTCAAATTAAAAATGAAACTAAGGCCAAACGTGATGGGTGAACAAAATAAATCAAAACTTAAATTTCAGCAACTCCGGCTCTTCAAACCAGCAAAGCCCCCGACTCGTGCACTGTGGTGAGGCTTACGGTGCTTGCCCCGGCTTCTTGCGTGCCAGCAAACAGCACCATTTCCTCATCAAGTTGAGGACTGAGAAGCAAAGGATCCCCTTCGCTGCAAACAAAGGGGGTCACAGTAACACTAGTGATCCTTCAGAATTGACACACCGTGATAGTCAAAATGATGGTCTCCCTGCTTCTTGCTCAAGACATACAAGATCTGAGCAGCAGCAAGTACCCCCTCGGCTGCAAACAAAGGGGTCAAAGGTTTGCCGTCAATTCACTTCCAGGCAGAAAAACATTTTCCTCAAAAGAAACAATTTATTTAGAATAAAACAAAAGCAGCTCAACTGTGAGCGCACGTTTGAGTGACAGCTACTTTTAAGCTGTGTGAGCCATAAAAAGGGTTTTTCTTTACTTTTCCAGAAATCTTGTGTACACAGCACAAAGCAAGAGGTCATTTTTTTTCCACTTAAAACACCGGCATTGGCATCACAATAGCAGATACACAACTTTAAGCTGCCATTTTAGTAAAATGCACAAATACTAAACAGATTAGCTTTCTTCCATCAAGAGGCCCATGTAAACTCCACATAAGCCACAACTTCTCTTCAAAAAGGTCCATTAGAGCTTTGAATTCCATATCTTCAATCCGCAGTTCACCAGTTTTGCTTGCGGGGGGGGAAAAAAAGGTTATTCAGTACAAATGTTTACAATATTAAAAATATATATATTTCCCCTATGCCATTATAGATGAACATAACATTAACAAGACCTTCCTGGATAGTCCAGCTTGACTTCAAAAAGCACCAATAATACCCACTGGCACATACCTCGAATGAATTTACTGTATGAATAGACAAATAACAAGTAGAACAACAGGGTGGATTTTTTTTAAGGACTGCAATTAAGCAAAGATTATAGAACTGAAAATACCCTTTATACTCATGTAACTGAGTAAAACATGTCAAAAAAATTCAGAAAAAAGTTTATAATCAATTTATGATCAATATATTCTAAATATAACTTAAAAAAATGAAACTAAAAAAAGGTGGAGTTTAGTTAAACTTTTACCCTCTCTGGTCTCATTCCATAATTTATATGGAACAATCCAGAACTATTCCGTTGTAGAAAGGGGTCAAGATACGAAGCCATTTAAAAATCCACCTTCATCTGTGTTACCAAAGACAGCAGCTGTTCTTTTAAGAAAACTCATTAAGAACAATCGCTAAACGGCCAAAGAACATTTTAGGACTTTTACTTTTCAACTGTTTAAATCAAACATAGAAACCTTTTTATTTAGCTAGACAGTTCGCTGTGGTTACCTGAAATCATTTTCTCCCTTTAGGGACATCATTATAACCAGAATGTTAACAGGGTCAGCTCCACTTCTCTTCTTGTTCTCACCCCTAACTGCCATCTCAAAACCAAACACCGTAGCAGAGACAGAAAAAAAGTCCCAAAATTCTCTCCAAAATTTTTCACATAAAAGGTCATTAAGGCCCTCTTCTCAAGAGGATTTCCTAATTCTGTTACCACAGAGTTTTTGGTGAATGGTTCCTACATGAACCCAAACTGAAGTTCAAGCTGTACCTGCGTAACGAGCAATTTCATGGTCTAAAGAACGTGGATTTCAAATTTTAAAAAACAAATACTGTCAGTGAAAACCTGCTCATAAAATTTTTAAATAAACCTAAACAGTGTTTGACTCTGAAAGCAACACACACACACACACACCTCACTTTTCCTACTGTATCTCAAATGATCTAAATGAATTAAGGGCCAGAGTATGTTACCTTCAAAATGTGACAAAAAGTTTATGCCAGCCAGAGGATGGACATTTTAAGATGTAATCCTTAAAGGGAAAATTCTAGCTACAGAGTCCAAGTATACATGTTAAACCAGGAATTTAAATTTTTGTGTGGGAAAACTCTTTACAGGAATCCCGGTTACAACCAACAAAATAATATTTAAAAAATTGGCTAGAAGCCGAATGATTGCTTAACTTTCCATAAGCTCTGAAGTTGTGATCTAAGTCTTAACTAGCTTGATGTTTTTCACCAGTAATACTTAATAAGTCATTAAATGATATATTGAAGAAATTTTCTTTGCATTCATTTCAACAGTTCCAGAAAAATCAATTTAGCTAAACGAGTATTTTTTTTTTTAAGTAAAAGAAACAAGTGGTTGTTACAAAGAACATCCAATATTGAAATTATGAAATTCTGGCTAATGAGAATTAGAACCAGACAGCTTTAGACTCTTGCTTTCATTCCATCCTGAAGGCTTAAGTAGATAGTTTAACAGTATTATGAACCTGCACAACAGAATGGGCAACACAAATAAGAGATTCATCTGAATGATGGCACTCTGTAGGTAAGCACCAAACTAAACATAATTAGTTATTTCTAATACATACATTTAAAAATGGTATCAAGCCATTGTTTCAGAAACACGGAAGCACAAACTGTGCAGATCTAACAAAAGCCGCCATGTCAGATAAAGAGTCAAACAAACAAACACGGAGCAAAAACCACAGTACTCTTCGGTAAGTTGTCACATCAACTTAAAAAAAAAAAAAAAGAAAAAGAAAACAAAAAAAAGGAAAATGGGAAAAACCACACTTCGGATTAGAGTAAAATTAAATGTTGTGGACTTCACTCTCTAGAAGAGCAAAATCATTTGTCCAGCCTTATCAAAAGATATTCAAAAGTTAATGGTTAGTGAGATTTAAACTGGAAAAATGTATCTAGCCAAACTGTACTTTGACCCCATGTATACACAGACTGCAAACCTGCATTACTTTCTGAACAGTGTCTCCTCCATATTAGTGTGCCAAGTAAAGCTTTTTAAAAGCAAAAGCACCAAGTCTTACTTGTAGGATTTCAGATATTCTCCCTACAGGCACACCAAGGACTTTGGGCTCACAGCCTAGTACCTTCCTTCTGTTAAAATAGCTAGTTTTTCCAGTTTAAAAAACAAACAAAAAACCCACAAAGACCTTCCAACTTAAAAAGAAAATTTATAAATGCATGGTGAAAACGAAAAAGGATGACACAGCAGTGATGAGGATTTCATGCTGACATGCATTAGACACCTGTCATAACGGAAAATAAAAAAATTACATGACATTTCCCTGGGTTATTATTGGTGCTATTTCAAAACTACCAGCTTTGATAACAGAAAGAAAACAGTTGAGTTCTGCCAGGCTTTCTATAAGTCACTTTCACAGAATAGAAACATGACCATGATCCAAAAGGTCCTAGAGTTTCTAATCATAATTAAACATCAAGGGCCTTAGCTAAAGTCCTCAGCGTTTAAATCAAAGGGGGAAATATACTTAACTAATGACCTGAGAAACTAGGGGTGAGGACAGAGGGACAGATCAAAGAAACAAGACAAAAAAGAAAATCATCCATTACTGTTTTGCAGCAAAAGCCCTTGTTAAGAACCAGGAATTGATATAACCTTCAGCTTTGAAAAAAACTGTGACAGTGGGTTAAATTATTCTGTATTAATTCCAGGTGTTTAGGAAATAAAACAATAAAAAGAGGTTTTCCTACACTGACATTTCAGTTCTCTGTGGTTGGACACCAGTGAATATATTAAACACAAAATTTCAAAGATATTCAACATTTTCAATAATGTAATGTCATCGCTACTGTTTATATATGAAAATAAAAATACAGGCAAAATTTAAATAGAGCATGTCAAAGGCATTTCACGATGACTTTAAAATTTTCTGCAATCCAGATATGGCTGATTAATGCCCACTAAAACAAAAGCTGACTTATGAGCCTGCAGACAACTCTTCTTTCTATTATTGAAATCAGAAATTTGCATGGATACAAAAAAACTCATCTTTGATGAAAAACACTTAAGTTTTGAAATATGCACAATTAAATTAGACCTGTACCTGCTATACCTCTCTGAAAGTCAGTAAAAACACCACCACACACCAATAACTAACCAAAGAATTCTGATTTTAAAAACACCTACTCACTTCTTGCATACTAGCATAAGACATATATGGTTTGTAACCTACTCTTCAATTTTTACTGAACAGTTACAGCTACAAACCAAAAGTGCATATACGGGATACAGAACTTAAGAACTAATGATAAAAAATGTGCATGTTAAAGCAAACTCTCCGGGAATAAACCATGTATTTTAAGAGAAATACTCAAATACCTGATTAAAATAATTATATTGCTATACAATTTACCAGCTTGTACTTTTAAGATTCCTGATCAAATTTCAGCCACACAAATAACATTTCTGGTACAGGAATTATTTACCTACATACCAATCAAGCCATTTTTAGGTGTATATTATCAACTTTATAAAGTCAGTGGGCTCTTCTCCAAATCCCGACTTTTCCAAAATTTTGGGTTTGTAACTCTGAGGATTTTTTTTTTAAGCTCAAGGTTAAAAAAGGGGAAAAAAAATAAAACTGAAGAAAAAAAGGAAAAAAGTTACTCATAAGAGTAGGACCTCCTAATTAAAATAAATCCATCCGCCTGCTACCTTCAGGGCATCCCTTTCACTTAAAATAATAGCTAAACTGTCCTGACTTCTATTTTAAAGGTTTATAAAAATATAAAAAAGAAAAAAGCTAGAACTAAACAAACTAATTCAAAAGAAAATTTCATCTGATGCTGTATCCCATTACACATCACAAAACAGGAACCATGTCAAAGTAGTAAATACAAGTTACACATGGACTTTAGGACGCACCACGGACAATGATCATGACCAGGTAATCTTCTTCAGATTTGGCCAGTGCCTTGGCAGGGGAATCCAGGAACTGCTGGGAGAACTCACAGGGTGGGAAAGCATGTAGGACCCCGGTGTTTTCCTTGTCTTTGTTGCCCCCCACAGGGAGGCTTATCACCCCAGCGGCTTGCTTTTGCTTTAAATAGGACACAAGGTTCCTAAGTGGCCTCTGAGTAGAGGTGGCAGTGTCTGACGTGGCTGAAGAAGAGGAGGACCTGCTGTCAGAACTTCCAGGCACAGCCAGAAGAATGGCATAACCATTGGGCCCTGCCACTTTGATGCGTCGAGTTACTTCATCCAACTTGGGCTGGTCCAAACGAAGACGCTGAGTGATCTTGAGCTGGGCTACTTTGCCTCCAGTTGAGCCCTCCACAAGAAGACTACTAGCCACTTGGAGGTCACCCTGCAACAGATGCATGTTGGAAGGAAAGTTGCTGTTCTTCAAAAGAAGCATGCCCTGCCAGGCCAAACAGAGTTTGGGAGAGGCTGCAGCTGTGGGTGCTGTCCCACCATCCTGTTTCTGGGAAGGGGACTTTAGCTTCGAGGAAACAGTGCTGGTGCTGGGTGCACTCCCATCAGACCGGTCTTCTTTTTTCAGAGGGCTTTTTCCCTCAGTGGGAGCAGCTGTCCGGTGCTTCCTATCCCGTTCAGCTGATGCAGAGTTTTTACGGTCTCGCTTGTCACCCTGGCTCTTCTCCAAACTACCTCGTCTGTCTCTGACTGGAGAGGGCCTTTCCAAGATAAGAAGACGGGAAGATCGATCATTGTCACTGTTGTAGCGATCCCGGCTACTGGTCAATTCTGGGCTGCGGTCGGGAGAAGGAGCACAGTGACGTTTTCGGGGACGGTCACTCTCAGGGGACCTATCCAGGTGCCGGCCCCCACTTTCCTCAGGCGGTCTTCGCTTCCTAGGCTGGTCTCTGCTGCTGGGCAGATCTCGCTCGCCTCTGTCCCGGTCCAAGGACCAGCCATCTCGCCTGCGATCCAGGCTATCCAGTGGCTCATAAGCAGGCACAGCAGTAGCTGCAGTCCGAGTGCTGCGTTCACGGACTGGGGGTGGGGGTGGCACCCAGTCAGAGTCAGGATAAAGGTCTCTGTCACGATCTCTGTACAGTAAGGGTGGTGTCCTATCCCGAGCACCCCTCAAAGGGTCAGGTGCTCGATGTCCAAAAGCATCTGTCACCAACTCATAATGAGTTAAGGGCAGAGGCTGCAGATATTGCTGCTGGTAACGATGTTCTGTATCTGCAAAGTCTACTCTAAGGCGACGATCTGGGCCACCAAGTGGAAAGCCACGCATATGGGTCCAGGCAGCATGAGCCGCATCGAGGCTTTCATATTGGATATATGCCCAACTATCACCTTTGCGGTAGTCTATAGTGCGAATGGTGCCAAATCGGTCAAACTCTCGGGCCAGGGCAGCAAGAGGCACCCAAGGTCCCAGACCACCTACCCAGAGGCGGGTGGTGGGTGTAGCTTTACCATAACCAATTTTGATAGGATTCCGAATGATAATTTTGCCAGACATTGCTAGTTTGGCCCGGTGAGACATGTCTAGGTTCTCAAATTTGAGAAAGCCATAGGTACTGGTCTGGCCCCGAGAAGGCCTCTTGATGTCTACCTCGGTGATGACTCCAAAGCGGTCAAAAGCCCTTCTGAGATCACTCTCTGTCACAGTGATGTCTAGGTTGCCCAAGAAAAGCGTCCGGTTAGCTCGCTGATCATCCTCGGGTGAGATCTCATCCACTTCTCGGAAAGGAGCAGCACCTGCCCCAGCTCCCACCCTTGGCTCAAGACTGTATGCTGGGCGCACTCTCTCATAGAACGGGTAGTCTCGCTCTCTCTCCAGCTCACGGGGCAATGGTGGCGGAGGTGGAGGGGGCAGGCGGCCAAGAGCCAACTGCTGCAACCGGTAGTCTCTGTATCCCAAGGCTGCGCCACCAGGGGAAAGCGATCTCTGGCCTCCACCTCCTCCAGGGGGGTGCCGGTGCCCACCTACAGACGCCCCGACCACACTGGCTGACGGAGGATAAGTATCTTTGTCTAATGGGGAGCGGCTGCGGCGCCGGCTCACATACACAGCTTCTATCTTCAGGGGCCGGTCATAGAGCACTAGGCGGCCTCGGGCATGCTTGGCCGCCCGCGCGTCCTCTGGCCGCCGGAAGTTCACAAAGGCTACTCGCTCATCCCCGCTGCCAGAACCCGAGAGATGACTGATTTTGACACTTACATCACCGAAACGTTTGAACTCGTGAAACAGTCCGTCCTCCACCGCTTCGTCACTCAGCTGGGACCCCAACTCGCTTATCTTCAGTGTCTTGTATTCCCCGCCGTCCCCGCCGCCAGGAGCTGAGGAGGCGGCCCCAGAGGAACGTGACTCCCCGCCTCCACCCCGGGAGCTGCTGCGCGACTCGCCCCCGCCCGAGGAATTTTTGGTGCTTGGGGAGCTGTAACTATGCAAGCGGCTACTGGAGCTGCCCCCACCAGTGTCATACTCGCGGCTGCCACCTCGGCTGCTGGACTTGTCCAGATGAAGGCTGCGCCGCGACCCGCCGCCGCTGTCGGTCTTTCCGCTGCTACTCCCATTGCTGCCACCAGAGCCCCCTAACTTCTTGCTCCGCTCCCCGCGGGAAGTCGAGTCCTCACCTCCACGGGAGCGTTTGGGCTTGACTGGAGAGCGCTCTTTTCCCTTCATTGTTGCGGGTCGTCGGAGGTCGTCTCCGAGGAGATGATTAACCCGCCGCCCCGCGCTCGTTTCACACAGCGGAACCGCACGCCGCCATCTTGGACTCCGCCGCGGTAAAGGATCCCGCCCCGTAGTCCTCATTGGTCAATTAGCTCGTCTCTTCTACAGTCTCATTGGGAAAACGATTTGTCTGTCTTTACATCTCCCCGCGCTCCGGAAAGGCGCCCGCCCAACCACTGTTATTGGGTTCCCAACGCCCTAGTCTGAGGACCTCATTGGTTATATTTGTTGTCCATCTTAACGGTTCCTCGCGCCAGGCTGTGGCTCCGCCCGTCGCACTCTAGGGTCACCTGACCCAAACTCTGGAGGCGTTGATTGGACAAAAAGTCTGCCCTGTAACGGTACTTCTAGCGCGGTAAAAGCAGTGATCCCACCTCCTCATTCCTTTCATTGGTTTGTGACTCCGTCCTTTAACTCACTATTTGGGAAGTCGGGCCATCCGTTCTGGCGTTTTTTCTGAGAGGCCCGCTTACAGCGTTCTCGCGAGAGAGAAAGCGCTCCCTTTTTCGACCTCTTTTTCCAACTCCTCCGGCGGCTCAAAGAAGTTTAAATTTGATTGGATGTTGACAAGGAAGTTGATAGGCTGAAATAACTGTCCATCACTCGCTTAAAGGGGTAGGCTCGTATACGGAGAAGGCTGACTGAAGGTGAAAGAGTAGAACACGCGCTTGCTGTGCGACGTCACTAAGACGTCGCGAGATGGTGACCCAGCGCTAGCTCCGCCTCCTCGCGCTTTCGGCGTTCTCTCCTCATACATGTATGTGGTCCTGCGGCGTACTTGGGAGTGCCTCGGCCCCTGGAGCCCGAAATTTCTGGGCCGCCCACTTAGTACTTGTCTGGGACAAGGGGCTGTCGGGGCGAATTCCTCAGGAAGGCGGCCCGGGGCTCTCAGCGGACACCATCTTAGTCCCTCTGGCCTCAGAACAGCCTGTAAAAGCTGGGGTCCGCGAGGCAGGCTGGCCGCGGGTTCCCAGTTAGCCGAGTGCCGGTCCCACTAACACCTGGGGCTCTCGGGGGCCCGCGGCCGGGAGGCAGCGCAGTCGAGCTTCAGCCTTCGCCCGGGGCCTGGCTCTCCTTGGCGGTCCCCGCTCCAGCCCAAGTACCCCGCGTAACGGGAGGGGGCGGGTACCCGGCGCCCGGGCCCCGCCGCCCGCGCGCCTGCCTCTGCGCTCCCAGTTTTCTGTTGCGAAGTCGCGTGCGTTTTGGATTTTGTACAAGATCTGGCGATCTAGGTCCGTTGGTTTTGTATATGTAATGCCCCTCTGCGTTAAATAATCGAGTCAAATTGACGCCCCATAGCAGACGTGTCGCGTTTTTTCTGCGGCTTCTCGTACCCTCGGCATCAGGTTAGTATAAGAACCCAGTAGCACAGCCTTGCCGACTCTCCAGAGGAACCTTTTTGCCTCCTTCAGGCATCATCTGCATCAAAACCCAACTTTCATTAAGGTAAATAAAGCACCTGTGGCAGGTGCTGCTCTTTGGCAGGTGAAGGAAGTGCTGAGTTCATCACAGCGGTCAGGCTTTTTGCCGTCCTCCCAGGTCTCTTGGCAGAGGTTATGAGAGTTCTTGTGTTGATCCTCTCTCTCACTTCTTTCAAGTCCAGTATGTAGGAGAGAATGAGATTTTAACATTACCTTTTCAAGGTAATGCGAATGTCCCCAAAACTGAAACCTAAACTTGAAAGCTCTGTTATGATTAGGACTGCAACATGTTTAGCCCTGCCTTAGCCATCCTTCTCTTTCTAGATAATCTTGAGGAAGGTGAATATGAATTTTATCTCTTGATTTGATCAAAGCTTGAAAGAAGCCTAATATGTAAAAGTATGAAAATCCGCGGCATTGTAGTATGTAGACTTACTCGCTGTATTAAGACTAGCTATTAAAACTTCATGAGGCATAGAACAGTGTGTGTAACATGCTACCACTTGTGGTTTTAAAAAATAATATATATGTGTAGGTGCACGTGTTTTTGTTAATACATTCATAGAAGCTTCATTGAGAGTACTTCGATAATGGTTACTAAGATAACCCTGAGAGGCGCGTGGGGGGTCTGGGTGGGAGAGAAACTCAACCTTCCATTATATATCTTAATGCATTATTAAAAGGAAACTTGTTTCACCATGTGCATGCTATTACTGTTTCATTTTTTTAATTAGCAGTCCTTAAAACTAACAACAACAAAAACACGCAAAAGTAGAATACTATAAAGAACTCCGGTGTACCCAACCCCCAATTTCAACAATTACCAACTCCTGTCAGTCTTGTTTCCTATACACTCTCTTCCCACTGTTCCCCCTTTGTTATTTTGTTCCAGGCTTATCTGGTACATTTCCTGCCCCAGACAAGAAATCAGCCAGTTTCTCCAAGGAGATCTGGTTCCTTTTAGTGAGAAATGATATAAAAATCTGGATGTTAGGAGATAAAGACAACAACAACCAACACATTATTTGTAAAAGCGTAAAACAAAAGGCTTTACATTGTTAGGGATTTTAATCTGTTTCAAGGTTATATTAAATACAACACAAAATTGAAGTTAAGCCATTATCTGATTACTTAATGTAATAGCCAATCCAAATAAACCAGGCTCCAGAATGACTATTTTTGGCCTAAACTGACCTGCATAGGTGACTGAATGATCAGAGAAAAAGTAATGACCAAATCAGCATAGGTTCTTACACATGACAGGGGTTGAGGGAGCACAAGAATGGAGGGAAAGAATTCAAGGAGCAGGTACCAGTATGTGCAGCAGTGCCTGAGGCTCTGCTAGGCTTAGTGGCTTAGCATTGGAAATAACCAGGGAGCTTGATGGAAGCTACAGCACACAGCTCTCGGCAGCAGGAGAGCTTGCCTAAGAGGATTGATGGCCAAGGACTGTTAAGTCGAATGGGTAGACAGAAAAGCCCTGGATTCTGTTATTAGTAACAGAGCCAAAATATAACCCTGATGTGTGTGTATGTGTGTATGTCCACAACAGAATTGGATAATGACATAATATGGCCATGCTGTAGTCAAAATGAGTGTTCTCATTTCCGTTGTGTTCTTTACAGTATGAAGGTGCTTGGTGTGATCGTATCAGCCTATGTTTGCACATGTGTTTTAAAAGAGAGCTGAAAGAGGATAAAAGTGACCCATGGTTTAGAAGGCCAGGACTTTAAACCCTTTTTCTGGCATTGGTGATGGAGTTGTTGAGGTCCAGTTCAAGGTTTCATCTGGCCTTGTGAATACCTTGTCAAAAACCAAGACAGAGAGTTGAGGAAAAGCTGCCATAGCCCATTCTGGTGTCAGCGTTGGTCCTTTGAAGCTTTGACTCAAAGGCCCGCAAGGACACAGCCCAGCAGGAAAGTGGCCACAACTATAGCTTTCTCTAGGAAGTGCCTTTTCCATATCCTTTAAAATCAGTTTTAGATTTAAGAGGAAAAAGCAAAATAAAAGTTATGGAAGAAACTGCATAATTAAAAGGTATCAGTATGTCTTCAAAGAAACATCTTTCCACCCTCTTCCTAGGTTTTATTGTTTGTGTATCCTCAGTACACAGACAATTATGATTGCAATATGAAATTGATCTTGAGAGCTGAGAGCTGTTTGATTCCCTGGTAGATGCAAAAGGCCTGAAGCTGGGAATTGAAATTATTTTCCCACCCACAAGAGTGGATTAAAATTTTCTATTTCATCTTCCTTCATAAACGTGAGTGGTCTCCTGACAGTGAGGTTTGTTTTGTTGGTCTGCAGAAAAAGCATGTATTTTACCCATAGGCATATATTAAATCCTAAAATAGCAAACAATCATTTAGGACCCAGTTTGCATTATTAAAGTCACTTATTTGTGGTTTGTGGCCTTTATTTTTAACAGCTTTATTAGGATATACTTTACATATCATAAATTTCACCCATTTAAGGTATAGAACTCAGTGGTTTTTAGTATACATACAGAGCTCTGTATGTGGTTCATCCTTTTAACATTGTTACAGAAAGCACTCTCATGTAACTTCTCCTGCATGACTAAGCCCTAATATGATTATCTCTTTCATTTATTTAGACATCTTACAGGGCAGTGGCTAAAAGCATGGATGCTGGAATCAGCCAGTGTGGATTAAATCCCAGCTCTGCTGTGGGCAGAAGAGTTACTGTTAATCTCTCAGGGCCTCGATTTTCTCATGCATGAAATGGGAATAATCCTAGGATCTTCACTGGGAGGACTAAATGGGTTAAGACATATAAAGATCTTAGAACAGTGCCAGGTACATGGTAAGCACTATAAACATGCTTGCTATTACTAATATATTTTCTTTCTGAACTTGGGTACATAGAATTGGATTAATCATAATCCTTAGTTCATGACACATGATCATCAATGGCCCATCCATGGGCCTTTAAATTTTTCATTTCTTTATCAACAACCTAGTGAATACCCATGAAACGGCCACTTGATCCAAGAAATAGAATGTTACTGATAATTTACATCTACCTAAATACCTTATCCTTATTCCTTATCCACTGCCTACTCTCATAGGTAACTACAATCCTGAATCTGGTGTTTAATAATTTCTTGTTTTGGTTGGTTTTAGGAACTTTAAAGAAATTTTTATTCTTTTTTTTTTTTAAGATTCATTTATTTATTCTAGAGAGAGAGAGAATATAGGCAGGAGGGGCAGAGAGAGAGAGAATCCCAAGCAGACTCCCCACTGAGCATGGAGCCCAACGTGGGGATTAGTCTCATAACCCTGAGATCACAACCTGAGCCAAAACCAAGAGTTGGATGCTCAACCAACTGCACCACCCAGGCACCCCAAGAACTTTAAAGAATTTTTTAAAGGAATTTTTTAAAAGTGTGTGTGTGTATGTGTGTGTGCATGCATGCATGGGCATGCATGTTCATGCACCTTAATAGTATTTCGTTTTTCCTTATTTTTTAACTTTAGACAATATAATATTTGTAATCTTCTGAGACTTGCATTTTTCATTCCTAATATTACTATGATTCTTTCATGTTATCATATGTAGTTATAGTTTATTTATTTCCATTACTGTAAAATATTCCATTGTATTGAATATACCACCACTTATATATCCCTTCTTCCTCTGATGGGCATATGGGCCTTTTTCTGTTTTTGTGCTCTTAGGAAGGTTCTTATTCATGTGTCTTGAGGCACACATGCAAAAATTTCTCTGGGATCGGCTAGGGAGATGGTGGGTTGGGACTACCTGGAAAGGGAACTACCAGATGAAAAGGAATATTTAATGGTCAGTTTTACAAGAGAAT